CGACAATTGTTGAGAATCTGCACGATCTCAGTTACAGATCAGTATGTTCGCCATTGACACCACATGGGTTGCGCCAGTCTGGGGAGGCGAACCGTGTGACCATGATTCAGATTTCTCTTCTTCTTTCGCATCAAAGGAATCTCTTGACAAAAATGATGGCTAATGAAGATAGCTCTGGCCTTGACTAAACTATACACATAAGCACTACTGGATTCGACAAGGAGGAAAGCTACCCGCAGGAACAAAAGCAGGCCTTCGTCAAGAAGGACTTTTTAGTGTTTCTGATGAGGTTGCAAACTGATTCTCTACAGAAAGCTGCTGGATACCTGCACCACGGTGACGACCATTGTCGGCTTTAACTACCTTCGAAATTTGGCCGAAGCCATGCGTCAAGTTCACGCAGAAATTCTCGATACGGTGTTACCCACCCTAACCCATATCTGCATGTGGCGAAGGATTACATATCAAGAGATCGTGGATTTTGATCGGGAAATTCTGCAGTGCTTGGCTTACTCGCCCGACTTAGTCGTTTCTAAATATTGCGTAATTAGTACACTGAAGCGCTACCTCGAAGAGAAAAAATCCAATGATTGAGGTCACCTCGAAAATTGGATGAAGCGCTTCTTTTCGAAGCAAACGCCGGATTTCTAAAGTAAGAGGGTTGAGAAGTTGCCCAGAAAAAGTACACGTCTCCTACGTGCTACCGGTGATAACCTTGCTGACTGAATATCCCATTCAGCAAAAGAAGGTATTGGGTTGTCCCATAATTCCTGTCCGATTTTTGATCAAATTCAAATTTCTTCAAGTCGAATTAGTGTCATTGCGAAATATGTTGGTATGTCAAAGAGTGCATCTAGACCGTTAGCCAGGACATTTTGGAAGGTCAAACCCGCATCGGAATAACTGAGTAGAAGTCGAAATAGATCAATAGCAATAACGAACGATTATGCTTTATGATCCTCAAATAGACGCTGTTGCAAGGAGGACACTAGAGAAGATCAGCGCTGTGTTTGGCTCAGTCTCTGCTACTGATCGGTCACTGAGCTGGAGGTTCGGTCGCAATGGCAAAGACAATACGAGCTGTGAAAATCAGCCTCATCCTGGGCCTCCACTCACTTTCGATGAGGACCCCTTGCGCCACGGTTGGAAGTGCACACGGACGCTACTACCAGGGTATTGTAGCAGACACCTGGCGCAAGCCGATGCACCATCACTTGCCATCTGAATGAAAATGGCTGCAGCAGAATGAAGCCTCGATTGAAACCGTATGCGCCGACCAGCCACGACCGAGAAGCAGTTGTGACCCTAGGTGACCTCATTAGCAGAGCGTTCCCTAGTTGATCACTAGTGGGGATGAGTCATGAGTTCACTACGACAACAACACGCAGCACGCCTGATGGCTACCTCGCAGCCAGGGCTCACCAGCTCAACAAAAGCCCAAACTCCGTGGTCAGAGAATATTGCTTTTGATTTGTTAGATTGAGTGGGTCTTCCGCTTTCACAGTGTTTTGCTATATGCGGACAAGTATTGTGAATGCCATCGTGGAACAGCTCCCGGGGTTGGCCGCAGTAGTGGGAGAAAACATT